GTTGTTAGACTACATAGCGTCCAGTGATAGGCTGATGTATTAGAAAGTTTCTGGAAGGAAGTGACGTGGCTTAACCGAGGTATTGTCCAGACATTTGCCTGTAGGGACTGGGACTGTGGAAAATAAAAAAGTTGCAACGAAGGTAGATGCTTTCCCGACCGATATTCGAACAGAGTACCGCGAGAATAAGGACAAAGGCTGCTGCCGCTGCGTTAACCAATATTATTCTGCTACTTGAAGTTGAAGATGCTTATTTCTCTTGTACAGTTACCAAGGACGCGGAGCTTCTGGCCTCGAATGAGGAGCGATACTGAATAATGTACTTGACAGCATGTGGAGGGAAGACATTGTGGTGTAATTTGAGTCAATGTCTTGGAAGTGCTAAGTAAAATCGAGAAGGAACTCAATTACAATAGTCGGCGGTCCGACAGAGATTCAAATCTGGCACGTACCCAATACAGGACAGAATTTCGGCCGCTTGGCTAGACTAACTCCGTAGCTTTAAGTTCGTCTAAATGGCATTTATAAGTCACAGAAAATACACTGCCTCTTCATTAGTACAGAAAAAGTAAAGCCATACCTGTAACAGATCGTGGAGGGTTGTGAGATGTTGATGTTCCTACATAGATGGCAGCAAGGTTATCAGCCCTACGCGCCGGCCACCGTTTACCCCCAAGAACATTCCTGGAATATTCCTGATACTCATTTCTGTTAGAGGCTGAGTCGACCTCATCGGGACTTAAACCCGCGACCTGCCGGCTTGTAGCATAGTACCTCAACCAACTATACAACCGCGTGCCCCGTTAGTATCCCAAGTGCTTAATTTCGTGTAAGAAAGAATGCACTCTTTAGGCAAAATAATGAATTCTTTTGTGTTAAAATATATTCTATGAATAGGTACCACTGCGTCTTGAAGAGTTAACCCTGAAGTCAGAAACCAAGCAGAGAGATGGATATGAATGAGTTTAGCGCATTTCTCAGGATCTGCGTAAACTGAGTAGGCCAGATGCTTGTTTAAAAAAAAGGTATCACACTCAGTGGAGGTCCATAAAGTTGTGAGATATCGACGCTCCTACATTTTCTAGACTGGCTCACAGATGGCGGTGAGTTTGTCATCCTTACGCGCCGTCCGCCCTTTACCCTCAGGAAGATTCCTGGTACTCGTTTCTGTTAGAGGCTGAGTCAACGCCAGGGCCATAGCGCGGATGAAGGATTCGGTGTTCGACTTACAATTTATGATCCTGAAGCCCCTCATGCAGTCTCTGGAGAGCGGCGTGTGTGGTGAACATACGTGGGGTCACAGGAACGCGGCCATGTAAAGTCGAAGTAAATAACCAATAGAAATATATTTATACTGGAGCGATATTCATTTATGAACAAACAGTTTAATATAATAAAATTAAGTTTTAAATTTTGAGCACTAAAGTATTACGTAGGTCGTACTGAAAATCATGAGCAACAATTTTTTGTAAAGTAACATGCTTTATTATTGACAAACCAAATACACCACCTCAATCTACAGACCTTTCTTTATTTTTCCACATAATCGCCACTTCTTTGTACACATTTCTCCCAGCGTTCTGGAAGTTTGAAAATTCCCCTTCTGTAAAATTCCGTTCCAATAATAAAGCATGTTACTTTACAAAAAATTGTTGCTCATGACTTCCAGTACGACCCTCGTATATCTCCGGTCACGGTAGCCGAGCGGTCTAAGGCATGCACTGTCTTCGCTCGCTTGGAAACCGGGATCGTGGGTTCGAATCCCACTCAGGGCATGGATGTTTAGTTTGTTTGTGTGCGTTTTTCTGTGTTTGTGTACAGGTAGAGGCCTTGCGACGAGCTGATCACCCGCCCAAGGATTCCTACCGAATGTGTAAGATCTAGAAAAACCGAAGTGAACGGAGAAGTTCATGGAGGTAGGCCTAGGCCCACTGGGGCTGTAATGCCAAGGGGGAAAAAAAAGGTAAATTATCAACGCAAAAATTGCGCACTAAATGAAATATTAATATAAATTTACGCATTGAAAGGGCTTCGTATAACCGAACCCGCGGTGGAGACGGATTCCCTGCGCGCGCGGTGTTAGAAAGGCAGCCTGTAGTAATGCTCTTGTAGCAGAATCCGCGCTTGGGGGGGCTTTTACTGTTCAACAAACCGTGACGTCATGATGCAATTCCAAGCTCTTTTATTGTGATGTGTTTGTACTTTGAGGTTCAGACCGTTCAGACCGAATGTGGAAGTCGAGCTGGTTAACATATTCCGGAGGGTAACACAGGCCAAACTGTCCTACGTGACGATGCTGTTTGTTGCCTTAGCCTCTTCAGGCAAATGCCTTAAGCGACAAACACGTCTAAACTTCAACAGCCAACATTTCTTTATGAATGTCTTTTGAAGCGAGTCTTTTGTCCGTATAAAACGCAGAACAGAACTCTGTTAGTTTGTAGTATATTCAAGCACGGCCGCCATGTCATGATATCTATAAGGCAACACAAATTTTTGATTGGGTTCCATGTTGCGAACGTAAATGCATTAATAAGGATGTTTCCTGTTTCAAAGTTTAATAAAACGAACCATCCTACTCGTCAGAAATAAAAATGGGTTAACTTCCCAAGCTCTGTTAAGTGCTTAAAAACGCTGCAAATAATAGTAACATCCTGTACATATAGAATCAGATGGGAAAGCAACCGGTCCAACTTCTATTCCTCTACATCAGTGATACATTGGCGTCTGGATTTCCCAAAAGTAGTTCTGGGAAGACCTGTTGCTATAATTATTGATATTAATCCCATACCGCCGCATGGAATAATGTATTGTCTGTATGGTTAATTTTAGGGCCATAGTCTCTACTTTATATAAGGACGAAATTCCTTAGGGAGCCAGGATAGCGCAGTAGATATTGCGACTGGCTGCGGGCTGGACGACCCAGTGGTTGGAGTTCGAGTCCCTGTAGGGTCAAGAATTTTCCCTTCTTCACAGCGTTCAGGCCGGCTCTGAGGTCCACTCAGCCTCCTATCCAACGGGTACCGGGGGGGGGGGCTCTTTCCACGGGGGTAAAGCGGCCGATGCGTGAAGCTGACCACTCACCTTCAGCTAGCGTCGAGGTCAAGCAATTATGGATCTATACCTCTACTCCTCTATGTGCCTTCATGGAGTAGTGCTTAATTAGTTAAACACAGGTGCAACTTTCCCTTTTACTTTTTGCGAAATTCCTTATCCTGAGCGTCCGTAATACGGTGTGGGGGGAGGGGGTAGCAAGAAGCGGACCTGAAGACCGGTGTTACAAGACAACAAAAATGCAGGCGGAGAATACGTTACGTTTAAATTTCTGTGGTACGTGGATTTTAGGTTGGCAAAGTTCTTGAATCAGCAAATTTATTTATTTGTTCTTGTTGTTGCTGCTGCTGTTTTACATTAGTTACAGTTTCCGTATAGCGTATGAGGAGACATGTGTAATTCTATTTTGCCTCTAGGAAAATGGCACGCAACCTGCGGTTCGCAAAACTCACTTTGGTCAGAGCTTTCCAAACGCATATTGCAAAAAATGAGAAACTATTGTTATTAATGTCTATACAGTATCAGTGTATGGGGCATGCGGTAGCGTAGTGGTTGAGGGGCTATGCTACAAGCCGGAAGGTCGCGGGTTCAAATCCCGATGAGGTCACTGGATTTTTTTCAGATGACCTAATCTTTCCAGCCGCACTAGGCGCTGGGGTTTACTCAGCCTCTAACAGAAATGAGTACCAGGAATTCATTAATTTTCTTGGGGAGTAAAGTGAGACCGGTGCGTAAGGCTGACAACCTTACCGCCATCTTTGAGCCGACTGTCTAGATAGGGTGGGACCTTCAACGTCTCTGGGCTTTCACGGCCTGGTACAGGGATAGCTTTACTTTTTTACTTTTACTTTACGGTATCAGGTGTATGTCACACTACATACAAGCGAAGTACAATGTTTGAAACTTCTTGTTTATGAAATACTTCCTGAAATTGGGAAACTGGAAACAGAGAAGGAATCCCAAAGTTCTTGTTGTTTCATCTTTATAGTCAGTTATTAAAGTATCCTTGGAGCAGAGTTCTTCTTCTGAAGCTGTTAGTCTCTCAGAGAGTCAAAGTATGCTTCGCCACATATGAAACCCGAAAGTTGATTACTTTGTTCACAATATCGCGTCACTGGGATGTATCTTTAAGCCACTTTAATCCAGTTCATATCCTCAAACCACATTTAAAATCCGTTTTAATCTTACCCTCCGGTCTACATCTATAATCTAAGCGAGCTGTTCATCTCATATAAAATATCTCTAACAGAAGTGAAGGTTTTGTCACCTCTCCCGACATGGCACAGCCCCAGGTCAGATCTATCTCGGTTTGTTTGGCGTAATTCGCTTAGTGGGGGGTGGAGTCCAACTGAGTCCACTCAGCACGGCGGCCACTGATTGGCCTACTGTTCCCTGCCCCGGGTGATTGTGATGATGGAGAATTTGGTAGAATGAAGATTGGCAAGGGAAACCAAAGTACACGGAGGAAACCAGCCCCAGCGCCACTTTGTCCACCACAAATCCCACTTGACCAGACCCGGGATCGAACTTGGGCCGCCGCGGTGCGAAGCCAGCGACTAACCGCTTGAGCTATGGCGCCGCTGGTTGTTTGGCGTAACAAACACTTTAAAGCACAGTGGTATATATATATATATATAGTATATATATACCATCTCTTTTAACATTATAAAATATATCGTTCAGTCCACACGATATATTTATTGGTTTCGCATGAGATTGAGATCAGGTCTATTTACTATTTCTTTGTAATGTAGGCGTGATGTGTTTTCTCTTAAGTAGAAGCTGAATTTGATATGGAATTTGTGGTTCTCACAGCGGTAATAATGTAGACTACTCTTTCCTGGGATGTGACGCCGTGTAGTCCGGTAGATCCATGTCAACGCCTGAAACGAACCTTTCGGGTACACGGCTTCACTAACCTTCATTAACGCTCTGTTCGGAGTGCTTACCTGTCAACATCCGCCACATGTTGCGTAGCCTAGCTAGGGCCGTACTTCCGAGAACCAACACAACTGAGCCTCGCGCTAGAGCGCCACACCACTTTATAGACAACAGTCTATGCTGCTNCGGGGGGGGGGGGGGGGGGGGGGCCCAACCAGCCCCCCCCCCCCCGGGCAACTGACAGTTATGTGGTCAGTTCTTTTTATAATACGTTGGTAGATTCAGCTCAGACCTACAGGCTCGGGACGTCACTAACCTGAACTACTTTCCATCACTTCTGCTCAAGACTGGGAGCCTGGATGGCTCAGTCGGATTCCTGGCGGGGACAGGAGTTCGCTGCCTCGTCCTGCACTGCCTCATGAACTGACGCACGACAGGCCCTTTGCCTCAGTATGAAGCTGGCAAGAATGTCTGGAAGTATTCCTTTACTTCACAATATGCACAGCTACCATTTATTTGTTTCCTAAAATCTAATTCAAGCTGGATGATATATGGAAAGGGAGACAAGAAATGTATGCAAAATTCCAGCCGGAATCAATGAAAAGAAGACAAACTTTAGACAACCAAGCATATACAATTAGATCAGATCTTAGGAAAGTGGGATATGAGGGTGTGGACTGAATTCAGCTGGCTCAGGACCAAGTGCAAAGGCCAGGTTTTGTCAGCATGGCATTTAACTTTCGATTTCTATGAATGTCAGCAATTCCTTTAATGACTGAGCAGCGGTTAGCATTTCAGTAACGGCACCGCGCTGTGGAGCAGCTCAGCACTAGATGGACGTGAGTGAACAGGCCCATAGGAAGATTGATTTCCCTGATGACGGAGCCCTCAGCAGCCGTAGCGTGGGACACGCACTTGCTGCAAAGCACACAAAGCGGAAAATGGAAAACGCGCAACTACACAATTGTAGAGAATATTTCTAATGCATTAGACCAAGGGTCTCCAAGCTACGGCCCGCGGGCCACATCCGGCCCGCGATGTGATTCTATCCTGCCCGCGAAATAATTGTGCAGAAATGCGCCTATTGAACTAATTTTCCAGTGAGTACTGGTAAATGTGATTCCGAGATTATTGACCTGTCATATTATACTGCAGTTCGATGGCTTAGCTGTGGAAAGGTTCTTTCGCGCTTCTTTCAGCTCAGGAATGGAATTGATATATTTCTTATCGAGAAAAACCATCACGAACCACTTTTATCAGATACCGAGTGACTTTGGAATTTAGCATTTTTTGCTGATGTGGTGAACCATATGAACCATTTGAATTTAAAGTTGCAGGGTGAAAATAACTTAGTCTGTGATTTATTTGCACTTATCAAGACATTCAGAGCAAAGTTGATACTTCCGGAAAGCCAAGTGAAAAATTGTAACTTTGTTCATATGCTATACTGTGCAGAGTTGCATAAAAAGGGTGAAGCAGAATTTTCTTCCTCGATTGCAAATTTAGTCATTTCAGATTTGAAAGAAAAAATTTTGGAAGCGATTTGCTGATTTGGATTCCAGTGCTCAGGAAATTAGATTGTTTCAAAATCCGTTTGACTGTGATGCTGCTGATGTCCCAAGTCAAGTACAAATGGAAATTATTGAACTTCAGGAAAATGATCATATTAAAGACAAATACAAGGAAGGAAATTTGATCGAATTTTATAAATTTCTGAACTCTGAGCAATTTTCAAATTTAAAGAAATTTGTGTGTAAATTTATCTCCATTTTTGGGAAGACATATCTGTGTGAACAAACTTTTCCCAGATGAAGTACATCAAGTAGAAATACAGGGCAATTTATCCGATGTACATTTAAAGTCGCCACTTGTGATTAGCTTTTCAGAATTTGAACCTCAACTTAATCAGATTTTAAGAATGCAAAAAGATTTCCATCATTCACATTAATTGTTTTATTATAATTTGTGATCGGATCGATTAGGCGAAGCCTGAAGACGGAAGCAGAATAATTTCCCGAAACGTTCTGTAACGTTGTGTAGAACCTATACGGTAGATAATTTCGACTACATCACAACTTTGATATTCACCCTTCAGAAACATTCAGACCTTAATGAAGCAGTTTTGTGTTCTTCGCTTACCTCCCGTTAATCCTGAGTCCGTCATTGCTCCACCTCCCCCTCCCATCACCAACCCCTGAGTGACTGGACACTACACTGACCGGACACTGACACTACACTAACGATAGTGACCGGACACTGACACTACACTAACGATAGTGACCGGACACTACACTGACCGGACACTGACACTACACTAACGATAGCGACCGGACACTACAGTTATCACATTCGTAGTCGTTAATATTTGGGCTACTTTTCTGGTTGGTTACAATGTAAGCAAGTTAGCTAGGCATCCCATATGAAACAGCTGAATAACTTTTAAATATATAACCGACCCCACTCTGTTTCGCCACATTAATATAAGGAAGGGACTGGAAACACAAGGAGAAATAATCTTCACAATTCAAAAATCACCACAGCACCCGCTAAGATTTTCTCCATTCTGCTGTGTCTTCACTAGCCGTTCCCTAGCAACAGCTTCTAACAGTGGAAATTCTATAGCTTCAGGCGCTCAGGTCTCTTCTTCACAGGCTCCCTTACAGAACTGAACTGAACTAAGCTCCAGGCCTTCTGGTTGTAACATCTAAGGACGGACCACATATAAAATATCATTTTAATGTCACGTGGGTGCATTTTGCGGACGTCACCGACCGACTTCCACTCTCTACAGAGTCGCCATTTAACCAGGGGTCTATGCGCCACAGCACTAAACAGTGTTTGTAACACAACAGTAACCACAGCTCATGGAAGGAACCGCAGCAAGACACAGGCAAACAAAGCTCAGGAAATCGAGGCAAATGAACTGAACACTAAAACATGGTCCTCTCAGTTACAAGAGCATAGTTACTTTTGATGAAGCAGGAAGAATAATATTTAAGTGCTCAGTTCGGGCCTCACTGCTTTACATTTTGAAGTCTTTACTGCAATAATCGCTGTTTGCTCTGACAATCATGTACTATATTGTAATACACTGGGCAAAAAAATCCGTAGTTACTAAAACAGGTGATATATAATTATGCTAATCACTGTGCTTTCAAGGATTAATGAAGCTTTCCAGCTTCAACGTGAAAGCGCTGTGCACATTAAGGGTATTATGGCAGTGTTCGCGTCACTGGCCTTGGCATATCGGCATTGCAACTCAGTGTAGAAATAAACATAGTAAATTGCTACATAAATGTAAATGAGATTTTAAACAAAATCGGCAAAGAACACTGGTACTTATTTTTCGTAAAACAAGTTAGGAGGGTCTGGATGAGCATAATTTATTGTCACGATTTAGGTGTGTGTGACTAAAGACGGCTTTTGGATAGGATATTAGATTTATTGACACCACTCGGAACTACAGGCAATTAAAGCCATATTGCCGATATACACACTTTACAGTTCACGGTTACACACGCACTAGGGTTCTCAGTCTTTACTACTCCTATCCTGATAACGAACTTTTATCTCAGGAATTTGTCACTGTAGCACACATGAAGTCTTATCTTCACAGCCTAATTCGTTTCTTGTCATCTATTTGACTGTCGACTCAAGAGATTCCATCAATTACAATCGTCATATAGCCTCGACGCGGACCCAACAGGAAACACTGTTTTATAGCAATTCCTCTATTGTTATAGAGGTGTGTTTACCTCGCTGTTACATAGATACAACAGTTCCTCGACTGTTGCTTCCTTATTCTTTGCCTCAAGAAAATGCTTACCGAGTCGATGCCTAGCAATGGATGTCTGCTCTGGTTCCGCTATTCCGACTTTCAGGCATTACGCCACAGTATAATTTCCATCGTTTTGGGTCGTATTTAAGTCCATTTCGCTGAGATTTATGAAAATTGATACGGTTCGAAATAGTTGCGGAAGGAATTACAATTTAAAATTGTGTCATGAACAGTCTAACATTTCTCCGGTTACTGATGACACAGCTTAAATATCTTGTTAATCAGCCCCCAGGTAGTAAGATTTATGGAAGAAATATTTTGGGAATTAAACAAGTGTTCCATTTTTGTTTAATATTTCTGCTAAGAAACGTTTTTGTTCCTCTAAATACTTAGTGAGTTACGATCAGAATACTCACAGGAGGGCAAGAAGTGTTCGATAGTTCTTGACAAAATTTTAGCCCAAGCGGAATAAGTAAATTATCAGATTTAATCAGTTAATTTGTTTCAAGTGGGCATATAAAATTTTCATAGTGGCGTCTATGAAAAACGTTATCATCTGGAATGCACTTCTAGCACGATCCTCCAAAACGTAGCTGCAAATCTACCGGACTACACGGCGTTATATTCAATAAGATGATGCACTTTATAATCATGACTGTGAGGACCTCAAATCCAGCACAGTTATCCTTCCTGAATATGCTACTCCGTGAGAAACCCGCATATTAAGGGATCTTCAAATTGTCTCTCCTTGTCTGCGCTTGGCACATTAGTACACCATGATGGTGGAGGCAGTGCATTCCTTCGAAACTTCGGTGGACTTATACAGGACTACAAGTTCTTTTTGCCCCAGAGGAGAGCGCTCCTATTGGTGTCAGATTTACAGAAAATTCTTTCTGTAATTACATGAAGACACACGAAAGCGAAGCAAGACGGAACCATTAGGTACGCTTGTGCAATTTCCGTCGCGAAAGTGCCAAAAGTTATACAAAGCATTGGTCTGTTTGAGTCTTCATCAGTAACCCGGCACTTGATATTCACGGAGTAAGGAAGTTTGTTTTTATAAAGACAATATGCTACTGAAACTTCTCAAAATTACGTTAAGTGAAATAAGTAAATGAAACGTTCCAATTTAAGTTACATTTTTCGTTCTCTTTATTTATTTATTTCTTGATTATTCAGCATTTAAACTATATAGCCTCGAGTAAAAACAACTCCGTGGCTTTAGTCCACAAACGAACTATACCGACCGAGCGACCGCCGCTTGTCGGCGAAGTTAGTGCCTACTTTAGAGGACAGAGGGTGTCGGTTGGTCAGCGCAACGAATTCCCATGGCCGTTATTCACCA